GTCTGCAAGTATTTACTGAATGCATTTTAGGTGGCAGGTACCCCTCATTCAAAACCCCATGTCCTCCTTCACTGTATTTTGCATCCTGCTGGTCACGGATTTGCCTTCATCGTTGTCTGTCATAACCCTCAATGGAAATGCCTACTGAATATATTCCAAGACTACCATTTTACTTTCTTATTGGGTTTCCCATTACTTGTCTGTAACCGTAAGTAACAAGATAGCTTCTTTTGAAGAGTAATGGCTTTCCAGGTATTTTTCTAATACAAGGGAAGCTTACCATTGTTTCACATGTAATAAGCCCACCTTTAAGAGGAAAATAAGGCCAAGGCTCATTTCTAGATAGCTGGTGGGAATCAGCCTTCTATCCAATGTATATCTAGAGGAGGAATTTCTGACTTCACAGAATGGGGAGAGTCGAGGCAAATGTAATCCCAGCCATGCTGTGACCATCCATCCTTGTTGATATGGTTTAATAAATAACCAACATAATTGTTGACTCAGTTCAAACACACTAGGAAGAGGGAGTGACCTCAGAATCACGTTACTGTGTGGGAGAGAAATGATCCAGCCCTGAGAAGTGGCCTATGTCTTTGCCTGCTAATACACAGGAATGCTGTCTAAAAGTATATAATGTGCCACATATTCATAGATTAATAGAATATTTGTGTCCATTAGAAAATAGTTATTCCCAAATGCCATCTCTTTTAGTGTGGACAAGCATCCTTCAGGTTAACTACATGATCTAAAAGCTGAGCAAGGGGAGGAAACTTGAAAGCTCAAGATAAGGAGACACTGCAAATGTACATTTACCAGGAATCAATACAAAACAACTTTAAAAATGGCTTCTTGCTAAGGGGAAATAATTTAATTGTACAAGTTTAGCTTTAGAAAATGTTCAGAAAAGCATTTATTACATAAATGACCTAATATGTAGCATAAAATTTTTTGATCTCGGTAAAACATTAGATCTGTTCTTTGTACTCATACTATACAGTCTTTATCCAGGAATGTGCTTGTAATTTTGCTAACCAGTAGACTCTTGAGATGTTCAAATTCTAAATTCTTCTCTATAAGGAGGTAAAGCTATGAAGGGAGATATCTTCAGCTACCCAAGTGTTTCTTCCCCACTGGACATATTTGTCACTCTAGAATAAGTGATTGGAGGGTTTCACACATTAATAGGTTCAGGGCAGATGGCAGCCCTAGGAAGAGACTTCAAGAAAACAAAAATAGGAAATGAAGGCTCTGACTGTATGAAGAAAGTGGATGTCGGTGGCAAGGTGGGGATGTGGAGTGATCTAGAAAAAGGAAAAACAGTGAGACAGACTTCAAGCAGTGACCCCCCACCCCAGAGTTTTTCAGTTCACTATTGAGTCTGTTTACCAGCAGGCATCATCTATTGCCTGTCTTCTATCTTCACAGCTCTCTACCAGGCACTAATTTTGAACTCTCAGATACCAAATAATTAATGCCTAGATGACTACAACCCAGGTTATATGCCTGGCGGATACATGCATAGATTCTTCCTGGTCTGCAGGCAGAAGGTGGCTTTCTAATCTAGGTAATGAGTTGAATTTGTAGGATTCATAAAAATAACTGGTCTTATTTAAAATAATTTCCTTTGGGACTGATAACAATATTTTCTTATAAAAGAAATGACCTCTCAGATGGCCCCTCCCGCTTTCTCTGTCATGGAACCAGAGCAATTTGGCTGTTAGGGACAAACAGAGAGCCAAATCATGAATGAACTCCCATTCACAATAGCTTCAAAGAGAATAAAATACCTAGGAATCCAACTTACAAGGGATGTAAAGGACTTCTTCAAGGAGAACTACAAACCACTGCTCAGTGAAATAAAAGAGGACACAAACAAATGGAAGAACATACCATGCTCATGGATAGGAAGAATCAATATTGTGAAAATGGCCATACTGCCCAAGGTAATTTATAGATTCAATGCCATCCCCATTAAGCTACCAGTGACTTTCTTCACAGAATTGGAAAAAACTGCTTTAAAGTTCATATGGAACCAAAAAAGAGCCCACCTTGCCAAGACAATCCTATGCCAAAAGAACAAAGCTGGAGGCATCACGCTACGTGACTTCAAACTATACTACAAGGCTACAGTAACCAAAACAGCATGGTACTGGTACCAAAAAAACAGAGATATAGACCAATGGAACAGAACAGAGCCCTCAGAAATAATACCACACATCTACAGCCATCTGATCTTTGACAAACCTGACAAAAACAAGAAATGGGGAAAGGATTCCCTAGTTAATAAATGGTGCTGGGATAATTGGCTAGCCATAAGTAGAAAGCTGAAACTGGATCCTTTCCTTACTCCTTATACGAAAATTAATTCAAGATGAATTAGAGACTTAAATGTTAGACCTAAAACCATAAAAACCCTAGAAGAAAACCTAGGTAATACCATTGAGGACATAGGCATGGGCAAGGACTTCATGTCTAAAACACCAAAAGCAATGGCAACAAAAGCCAAAATTGACAAATGGGATGTAATTAAACTAAAGAGCTTCTGCACAGCAAAAGAAACTACCATCAGAGTGAACAGGCAACCTACAGAATGGGAGAAATTTTTTGCAATCTACTCATCTGACAAAGGGCTAATATCCAGAACCTATAAAGAACTCAATCAAATTTACAAGAAAAAAACAAACAACCCCATCAAAAAGTGGGCAAAGGATATGAACAGACACTTCTCAAAAGAAGACGTTCATACAGCCAACAGACACATGAAAAAATGCTCATCATCACTGGCCATCAGAGAAATGCAAATCAAAACCACAATGAGATACCGTCTCACACCAGTCAGAATGGCAATCATTAAAAAATCAGGAAACAACAGGTGTTAGAGAGGATGTGGAGAAATAGGAACACTTTTATACTGTTGGTGGGACTGTAAACTAGTTCAACCATTGTGGAAAACAGTGTGGCGATTCCTCAAGGATCTAGAACTAGAAATACCATTTGACCCAGCCATCCCATTACTTGGGATATACCCAAAGGATTATAAGTCATGCTGCTATAAAGACACATGCACACGTATGTTTATTGCGGCACTATTCACAATAGCAAAGACTTAGAATCAACCCAAATGTCCATCAGTGACAGACTGGATTAAGAAAATGTGGCACATATACACCATGGAATACTATGCAGCCATAAAAAAGGATGAGTTTGTGTCCTTTGTAGGGACATGGATGCATCATTCTCAGCAAACTATCGCAAGAACAGAAAACCAAATACCACATGTTCTCACTCATAGGTGGGAATTGAACAGTGAGATCACTTGGACATAGGAAGGGGAGCATCACACACCAGGTCCTATTGTGGGGAGGGGGGAGGGGGGAGGGATAGCATTACCTATTGTAAATGACGAGTTAATGGGTACAGCACACCAACAAGGCACAAGTATACATATGTAACAAACCTGCACGTTATGCACATGTACCCTAGAACTTAAAGAATAAAAAAAAAAAATCATGAATGAACTTAATACACTGAACTGTACATTTAAAAATGGCTAAAATAGCATATTTATGTTATGTATATCTTACTAAAATTAAAAATAAACTATGAAAAAAATTTGGCTGTTAGGTTAGAAGTTACTTCATATTTAAAATGTTTCTCTTTTTGACTCCTTTTGACAAACCTGGTTTTGTTCTTTATAAAAGTCTGTTTGAGCTCTCTCATATCTTTCTTTGGCCTCATTCATTTGCTGCTGATAAAGCTAATGTTTTCCTTTTGTCTTGACCTTGAAGGAAACCAAAACATTCCTCTCAAAAATGCTGGGGATTGTTGAGTTTAAAAAACTCTGCCCCTCTCTCTGCTTTTCCCACCTAAAGACAGTCCAACACTTGCTTATCTGCTCAGAGATAGTGGTGCCAGAGGATCTAGGAGCAGACTTTAATCTTCCCATATATTTACCTTCCCACATTTTCCTGCCTTTTGGAAGCCCGAAGATGCTATCTTCTTTGTCTTGTCCCTATTAGGATTTCTGGCTCTTTGGTGAGATACTATTTAAGCATGACCCCTTAGCCACTGCCTTGAGAGAGAAATGCTTTTGAACTGAGGCCTCTCCCATGTGATGGGTATAGCATGTGTTCATAAATTTCTGCTTGTTTTTTGTTAATCTAACTTGTTTTCAGAAGAGTATCTCAACTAAGAGCTTGAAAAGGGAGAGAAAAGAAATTATGTTTTGTCCCCTACAACCTACTAATTCAGGATGCAATCAGTCCATGGCGTCTTTGGTCTTATGGCACATATTCAATATTTAAAATGTGAAATAGTTTAAACAGTCTCTTCTGAAGGTCTCTTTAGACTTGCTTATTACAGAGCTATCTAGCAGTAGGGAAAAGGCCTAAAAAGTCCCTTATGACCAAATTCAGTCCTTGGGTTTTCTCATTTTAAGCAGGGCTTTTGTAACTTTCTTGACTGAGTTAAATGTCCTCATTTCAGCACAGTGAACAGTTTTACACATGATCACACCTAGTATTAAGAAGACAATGCTGAAAATGGTGACTTTTCCTTCATCCACCTGACAGTGACTAAGGAAATCAAAAGGCCAGGCTCTAAGAGGTCAGCATACAATGATGAGTAAGACAGCCTCTGCCTTTCTAGAGGAGAGAAAAATGTAAACTAATAATTGCTGTTGGTGTGAAAAGTGCAATAATGAGAGTATGCATCAGATCCAACAGTGGGCCCCAGGAGAGGGTAATAAACCCAGTCTGAGGAATCAGAAGAGACTTGACTGAGCCTTCCTAAGCAGAATTACTTCCTGTTGTTTCTTGATTTTTATGGCATCCAGTTGATAAATGTGCAATAGGGGAGAATCATTCTTCAAGCAATCTCTCGAGTACCAAAATATAACACCACATTCTGGAAAGTAGGACAGCTTGTAATCACTCCTCCAGTCATATCACTTGCTGCAACTAAAGAGGAAGAACCATTTATTGCAAACGTGCATTTTGTACCTTTGCTGAAGAACAGATGTGACCTGTTTGCAGAAATTCTCTCCATTTTGAGAAAACTCCTTTAGGTTCTTGTATACTTTATTATACTGAAAAACAAGAACAACAACAGAAAAAAAAAACAATGAACAGGAAGATTACAAGCAACTCTGAAGATAGAGCACCTATAAATTCAGAAAACTACTATAACCATGATATATGATTTATACTGTCATTATAAATGATCGTGCAGCCACAGGCATGCATACCTTTTGGATGAGTTCTTAAAATCAAGATGAGGTCTCCTCTGCCTGGATATGAAAGACCCTGGAGAACTTTTCAGAAATAAAGCTGATCTGTTTCTCTCCTCAGCCAAATGCAAACAATTCAGCAGTGGGGTGCATTTGACGCCTGGAATGTCACAGGAATGTCACCCCAATTGTTCCCAGGAAGGACAAAAAAATATATTCTGAAGGATGCCACATAACTTTTTATGTCCCCTCCTGCACACACAAACTTCAAAATTATATTTCTGGGGCTCATGACAAACCGTGAGCCATTAGAGTGAGCTGAGTCTTTCTTATCTGAGATAGGAAACTGAGTAAATAACCTGGTAAGAAAACTTTGTCCTAGTCCTCTCTCTGTCTCATTTAATTCCAGTAAGAAAATGTTATCATAATGAGTTGAACATTTTGGCTAAACCAAACCATTATAAATTTATTAATTACCCTTTATAAATTCATGTATATTTGAATTTAGCCTGCGGACACAAGAATTTCCAGTAAAAGTTTTTGTCATTTGATTTAGAACTCCACAATGTCTTTCTGGAAACTATAAATGTAGACATTGATGACAATAGATTTTAAGTGCCTAAACAGAGAAGCTAAATGTCAATTGATTCTGCAGTTTTTTCTGACACAGAGCAAGTGAATTAGATGATGGAACATCCCAGACACACTCTCTCATAGTTTCCATCTGGGAGGTGCAACAGCAGATTGCATTTTTCAAAATGAGATTTTACATAAGAGGACCCAAATTCAATATGGATTGAGAGCTGTGCTGTTCTTTGCTCATACAATGAGCCAGCCTATTCCAGTGTTCAGATATCGCCAGCATTCAGTTGGGCACCATATTGAGAAGGGAAAAACGAAGGAAATTCACATTTACTGAGTGCCTCCTATTACAGTGGGCACATTCACAAACCCACACGCCCTCAGGGCCCAGAAAGCCATTCAGTCAACAAAGCACTTGGTATGTGGTGCTAGCAGAGTATCAAACTAAGAACATAGGGTGACAGAGGAGGAAAGACCTAAAGAAATGAGCTGATCCAGGTCCCTACCTTTGGTGATGGAACAAACCAACACCTAGGATACAGGAACATTCTTACCATATCCATTTACCTTTATGCAGTAGTTTAACTTTCCTGTGAATTTAACACAGAAAGCTGTGATAGGACTTCATAGATGTATATTAATATTAGCAAACCACTTCCTTGAAACTGCCTGGGACACGAGGAAAGTGGTGAGGGTGCAAAGCTTTAATGAGAAAATTGTTAATTTCTAAAGCAGAGTTTGCAAAATCCTGTGGCTGCTGGCACCAGTCAGGCCCCTGAATGAGTGAGGAGCAGGGTGGGGACTGTGAGCCGGAGAGGCAGCTGTTAGAACCATTCTGGCCCACCACTGCCACCTGGAATGTGGCCCAGGAAAGCCAGATCTCCCACTTTGTCCAAAAAAACTGAAATCAGGATTTGCATCCGAAACATGATTTTTTTTTTAATGGTAGCAAACGATTCACAAATTAAAAAAACTCTGCAGTGTAAACAAAACACACTTGTAGTGAGGTTCCAATTTGGAGCCCCTCTCATGAAGGAGAAATAATCCTCCTGTCAGAGTCATGAAAGTAAAATCACTGTTTGGCAATCAAGCTTTCTAATTTTTATTTCCAATAAAACTAACTTGCCATATATGAAAGGTATGATACTGTTAAGGCCTCCTTCCTCCCCTTACAGGCACACTGGGGAAGTTTAGGGGAGTATTTTGAAATTGTGAGAAGACCTGCAGTAAAGAACCTTGTTGAGCCTCTTTGTTTACTCCTACGTTACCTAAACATGTTCACTAGATTTCTCCCTAAGCCTTTTGTCTTCTCCTGCAACACCTAATAGCATCCCATGAAACACACCTCAGTGTCATGAGAAGAAAATGCATAAATGTTTAGCAGGGTACATGCTCCTGGAATAAGGTCATTTCTCAGCCTCCCTCAACCTTAGGTGTTAACCATGTGACTAAAAGCTATCCAAGGAGATGTGAGGGAAGGTTCTGTATGAGGTTTCAGTAAAGGCTTGTTTGCACTCTTGTCTTCCTTCTGGACTTGAAAATGCAGGCCAAAGCCATAAAGTGGTATTGAGATTGGACATAATGCATTAAGAACATAGAGTGGAAAGAGAAAAAGAGCCTGGGTTTCTGATGGCTGTAAAGGACACCACAGGAGCCCTCAACTCTCTACTTTTGGACTTATTTTATGTGTGAGAAAAATACAATGTTTTTTTTAAAGACGTATGTATTTGGGGTTTTTCTAATATGCAGCTGAACATAGTTCTAACTCATACAGGGTCTTTTTGCTTTGAATTATGAAATGTTTTTATGTTTTATAACATAATGATACAGAAAATAATAATAATGCACATTAGATACTCACTACCTAAGTTATAGAGATAGTAACACTTTGCTTCTTCTCTCTCTTTAAACAACTTTTTTTTTCTTTTCATAATTTATTTGGCTATTCTGAGGCATTTATTGTAACATATGAACATTTGTCTAATTACATATCTTTTTAAATCCCCGTTGGGATCCTGATTGGAATTGTATTACATACATACATCAATTTGGGAAAACTGACTTTTTAACGGTGTTTAGACTTTCTATCCAAGGACATAGTAAGTTTTTGCATTTGTTCAAATTTTATTTTATGTTCAATAAAATTTTATTATTTTCTTTATAGGTCCTGTGGCTTTCTTATTTGATTTATTTAGAACTATCTCACAGTATTAAGCTGTGGATTTTTATGTATTGTCTTACTGACTTCTCTCTCCAGCCCACAGCAAAGCAGAAACAGACTCAACAAAAAGCCATGGGGCTGTGTGCAAGAGAGAAAGACCTGGATGCATATGCTTACGAAGTAAATCTTCTACTCTCAAACACTATAAAGCTGGGGCTGAGGATGGGAGAAAAGAAAGCAGAGAGATGGATTCGAGGGATTTAGAGTAGGAAGGAGAAAAAGAACCTTCCATTAGGGGAAGCAGGAGTGGAAGGAAGAGACTTCAAGATGAAATGTCCTACAGGAAAGGCCCTTACCAGTCCACCATCACCAGAGGATAGTCTGCACATAGAAGTTACCTATGGGAGAGAATTAAGGGACCCTGGACATCAAGTGTGGGATGGGGCATGTAGAGAAAACTCTGCCCATAACCAATGTAAAAATGAGTAGAACCAGTTGAGAATTTTTCTATGTGCTTGTGTTACAGGGGCTGCTGCATTTCCTAAACTGATCAAGCCATCAAAACTCCCTAAGACACATTTTTAAATACTGTCTCAAGGGAACTAGTTTTAGGAGGCTAGGCCAAGCTGAAAGTTTACAAGCCAGTGATTGAAAACTCAATGGCCTTTAGTGGCAGTGGTGAAGCCTGTGGCGAAGGCATTCACATTCAACCTCTTAAAGTAAGGGGCTGCTGGAACAAAGCACAGTCTATGGCCTCCATTGACCCTAGGGCTGCCAGCTCTAGAATTTGGAAGATGATTTTCCGTCATTTCGTAGACTAGTACTTTCTAACTTTTTCCCCAAAATGGCACACGTAGAAAATATTTGTACTGGAAGAGTGTGGTAAATAGACACAGTTGTTCCAGGAAGAGGGAACTGGCCCATGGCTTTGCCTCCTACCTCGCTCCCAGCCATACTCTGTCAATTCAAGGGTGCAGAGGACTTGTGTCTCAGGTACACCTGTAACCATCCTCAGACGTCAAACTCCAGTATGCCCAGGCACATGCAAGTTGAGAAGGTCTTCATAATTGTTAATTTAGTGATCAGATAAGAGATGAGGTTATGAGAGCAATGGAGAGAATCTTTACCTCTGATCCTATATACTATGTACCAGAAATTCCCCAACAAACCCTGATCCAGATTGAGATAAAGGTGACATCAATAAATAAAAGAGTTGCTAAGAATATTTTCATTATCCCAGCATAAATCCTTATTTAGAATCAATGATTCTGTACTTTTCATCATGTACCATCTACTCAGACTTGGAGATAAAAACTGTGAAAAGCAGATCCACTTAAATGCCAAAGCAGACCTCCAGAGACCATATAATTCTCTCTCTCTCTCTCTCTCTCTCTCTCTCTCTCTGTGTGTGTGTGTGTGTGTGTGTGTGTGTGTGTGTGTGTGTTCAGAAAATCTTGGAACATACCTGCTGTGTGTGGGTGAAATCACTTGACTTTAGTTTTGGTTGTCTTACTCCTACCTCACCACACTCCCACCCACTAGAGAGGACTCTGAAAGGGTTCCATGGAGCACAGTTTGGAAGCCACTGAAGTCTAATTCCTTTATTTACAGTTAAGGCCCAAAGAGATAACGATAATCTAATTAGTTAGAGACAGAGTTGTGATTAGAAATATTAGGTATGAAAATCAATTAGAGAATCTATTAGAATCAAATACATTTATAAATGGCTGATCTTTTTAATCACACTAAGTTTACTTCAAGTTATAGTAACCTTTAAGTGTCATGTGCAATACAGCTGGCTTCTTAATGTCATCAACCAGCAGAAGAAGAAGGGCTTGCTGTGGTTGCAGGGAGGTGGAAGGCAATTTTGGTGTTCTTTTCCTACCCATTGAGCTTTTAAATATCCTAACCCCCTACCAAATATTCATTTCAGAGAATAATCTACTATTGATTCTACATCTCCATATGAATTCATATTAATATGCTGCTTCTCCTGGGGATCATTAATTATTAGGAAAAACAAAAAACATTATGAGGCTTTTCTCCCCGGATAAAGGGATTTCAGTCTGGTAGTGGAATATCTGGGATCTTCCTAAGCCCCTAAAAAAATAATGACCCCTTCACAAATAGACAACTGGTCTACACAGACATTTCCCATTCAGCCATTAGGAAAATGTTTCTTCCCAGAATTTGTAAGCAAATCCTGTTGATAAATATAGCCATTACAGAAAACATTCAGTAATCCAGCCAATCAGCACATGAAATGGTTAGACAGATGACTTGTAAAGATTATAAAGTGCCTACATCAAGCTTGGCCTACCTGCTCTTTCTGGTTGAATGATTAAGAGGGTTAAATTTAGTTCTAGAAAGAATTATAGAAAAATTTATTTGTGTTGATGCTAGTATGGAATAATTTTTTTTGAATAATGATGATCCTCGCAGTGTTAAAGAAACCATGATATTCCACTTAAATTTAACACTGGATGCCAGGCACTGTGCTACTGATATCATGTGAGTTCTGATTCACTGGGGGCGATGTTTCAAAGCACTGCCCCTCTATGAAGGGAATCCATGTACGTGTTCACCAGCTGCGTAGTATTTGGGATCCTTGTGGCAGACTGCCGCAGATTATGGGATATGGAACATTAAAAAGCATAGTCTACTCCATCCTCTCCTTCTTTTACTTTACACATGAGGAAACAGAGGTCCAAGAACGGCATGTTAAACATCTCATTGATGCACACTGGGGAGGCTGTGGACCACATGACACCCATGCCAGATGCAGTCTCCTTCTGTATTTTTGCAGTGAGTCAGATTCTCCCAGGTGCTATGGACCATGGCACCGGCACCATTTGAGTTAGTGACAGTCTTTGTCTGGTGTCCAGGCTAAGCCACCAAGATGGGAAGCTCAGGTTGGCATCTGAGCCAGGTTACCAACCTGAGGAGCAACCTGGTGGCATTTCAATGGAGGATGACATGAGGGGAGTGGCTGACTGTGTGGAGCCCAGAAGACTTGCTTTGACAGACCCCTTCCTGGATACTGAATGAGTGTGTAAAAAGTAAAAATTTGCTCAAGCCTGTAATCCCAGCACTTTGGGAGGCCGAGACAGGTGGATCACGAGGTCAGGAGATCGAGACCATCTTGGTTAACACGGTGAAACCCTGTCTCTACTAAAAAATACAAAAAACTAGCCGGGCGAGGTGGCGGGCGCCTGCAGTCCCAGCTACTTGGGAGGCTGAGGCAGGAGAATGGCGTGAACCCGGGAGGAGGAGCTTGTAGTGAGCTGAGATCTGGCCACAGCACTCCAGCCTGTGCGACAGAGCGAGACTCCGTCTCAAAAAAAAAAAAAAAAAAAAAAAAAAAAAGGCCGGGCGCGGTGGCTCAAGCCTGTAATCCCAGCACTTTGGGAGGCCGAGACCGGCGGATCACGAGGTCAGGAGATCGAGACCATCCTGGCTAACACGGTGAAACCCCGTCTCTACTAAAAAATACAAAAAACTAGCCGGGCGAAGTGGCGGACGCCTGTAGTCCCAGCTACTCGGGAGGCTGAGGCTGGAGAATGGTGTGAACCCGGGAGGTGGAGCTTGCAGTGAGCTAAGATCCGGCCACTGCACTCCAGCCTGGGTGACAGAGCGAGACTCCGTCTCAAAAAAAAAAAAAAAAGTAAAAATTTGGCTACAGCTTGTTACTTGTCCTTGATTTCTATGTGATTGCTTGATAGGAAGGTGCTATTAATACTTTCTTGTGATCGAATTCTTTCCTTTGGAGATAATTGGATCCTACTTCCTCACCTTTCTTGCACATGGATTTGAAGATGAGTTCCCTAGACATATTTTTAGGTTTAAGAGCTAAACCTAAACCTTCACAGGCAATGGGGCATCAAGGCCCAGAGCCAATTCTTCTCCTTGTCAAAAACAGAACTTTAAAGATATCTTAAAGATATCTTCTTCAAATAAGTTCTGACATTCTCAAGATTAGTCCTACACAGCATTTAGGCAATCTTATGCCAACCTGGTGACAATAATTTGAACTCAAACACTGACCTGGCTCTTTGAGGTTGACGGGCCCAGCTATCAGCCTATTTTGCCCATTAAAACTTGATCTAAAAGAGATTTTTAAATTTTTTCGTACCATGAGCCCTTTTTGTAGTCTCATGAAACCTATTTGATTCAGAATAACATTTTTAAGTAGCGTAGGGTTACAAAGGAAATGAATTATATATTTTTAGAGTGTATTTTTAAAATTATGATATTATATGCTTTTTAATTAACATGCTAAATTACATATCTTAAGTATTACCACATTTTGAAGTCAGGTTGAATGTAAATATTTCTAGATACGTGCAACAACTGTCATGTTGTTATAAAATTTCTGATTTTTATTGGTTACAAAGTCACAGACACTACACAGATATTACTAGTAGTATTGGGGCTTGTTGCCTATATTCTGGATTGAATAAAATTCTAAATCTCAATTAGAAATCAGTACAAATAGAGATTTGTTTTCACTGAAGTTCATGCAACCCACTGAGTTCCATACATGGGTATATTGGTATGGGCCCGGTTAAGAACTGTAGCTAAGACTTTATGAATTGTGCTCTGTGCAACTCTAGGGACTCATGGAAAGGGACATTTTGCAGGTGCTTAAAGCTTTGGGTTATTTTATAAAACTACCTAAGTGTTTCATGAGGCACTCATTTGCAATCCATTTCCTTGTCTTATTTTGTTCCCAAACTGTAGATTCATCTTCACATAGCATTGTTTCCCAAGTACAAGCTAAGAATGTACCAGGAAATCAACTTGAACACTTGATTAAGATGAAACAATTGCAAATAAATAAATGTTCTGTGACTTTAGAGGGTTTGGAAACCCAGGCTGAAGGGATATCCGCCTCCCCATGACTCCCGGATTCTTTTGGTGGCAATGAGCCCATACAGATGACCTTCAGAGTTTTAGACAAGGACAGGAGTCCTTGGCTCAGCAGAGCACAAGGAACTATTCAGCATGTCAGGGAGTGGAGCTTTAAGCAGACACAGAAGTATGGTTATGGGTTGCCTTGGGGGCTGCTGAAAGAAAACATTTCTCCACATCTGAAGACTGACTTTGCTGCCTGCAAAAACAATGCTAGGCCTTCAGTTTCCTTTTTATGTATTTATTTATTCTTCTCGTTTTAAACTTAATTACATCTGGCCTCCATTTCCCTCTCTTCTGTCCATTGAACTCGTCCCCTGGTGTTAATTGTCTTCTTTGGTTACTATTAGTGCCAAGATTTTGCTGCCACTTATCCCATGCCTGTCCTGGCCTGCCACCCTGATACAAAATCATCGAGTAGGAGTGTTGAGACAGGGGAGGATTTTACAGTTTAGTAAGGGAGCAACCTCAAGGAGAGATAAATAAATGATAAAAGACTACTTAAAAATTATTCATAATTACCAGTGGAGAGAAGACTGAGATTGAAGTAATTAAAGGTGGAAGTTTCACTCTTAAAAATCTATAACAATATCATTGGAATTTGTTTCTACATTAAGCACAAATTATTTTTGTGTTTAAAGACAGTAAAATTAGGCAGAATTGGCTACTATCTTGTCATTAGTAAAATTACTAGTCATTTATGAGTTCATCTCATTTAGCTCATCTGATTTTCTGCAATAGTAGCCATAGTTCCATCTTTTCCAACCATGTGCTTTTCTTATCCACTGAATAAACAAAAAGGAAATCAATAATCCTCTGCTGGTCTTCTTCTTCATGGCTCTATCTCAGCGCCCATTTATCTGCTGCTCCACAGTTTGTGTTATTAATACATGAAGGATGACTGAAACCTCTTGCTTATGACGTCACCAATCTTAGCTTTTCAGCCCCATGTGTTGGGATAAAACACTGACCCTCCTTAATTACTTTATTTTCAAAGTAAACATATCCCCTTTTATTTTAGTTGCTTCTTATTTCCTAAATTACGTCTCTGCTATTGCCACCAGTGACCTCACAATGTCTTTGGACTTCTGACCAAACTTATATTTTTGGTAGTGCTCCGAATATTACCAAAACAAGCAAACATGGAACAAACATGCTGCTAAACCAGTCTGAGAACTACTGCAGGCCAGGCAGAGCGGAGAGTCTATCCTTCCTCCTGCAGGACTTGTGATCCTTGACTCAACAAATGAGGGCAAAAAAGCACAAAAACTCTCCTCCCTCACTTTATTCTCAGAGCCAAAAATTGGCTGCAGACATTCTGTGTGTTTTTGTATCCACTCCACACGCGATGTTGGCACCATGGGTGTCTGTCTTAAGAATGTTTTCCAAACAGCCACCATCTGGATCCAAATACGATGCTTTACTCACTCAAAACTTTTTCCAAGAATATGAGAAGGAAAGATGACAATTACCTGCCCTGTCATTTCCTAGAAAAAGCTCTGTTTTTAAACTGAAACAAAGAAAAACCACAAACTTTTGTACCACAGCCAATATCTAAATGTGTTTGGTTTCTGAGTGTCTCAAATTTCTTAAGTTAAAATCCATTAATATATAAACCCACCCTCCACCCTCCTCACACGCAGGCACACAACCCACACCGAGCTACTCACCGGACAATCTGTCAGTGGATCCCTCATGTCGAAATGTGTCTGGCTTTTGTCCTTTCACCTACGCTCCAGCATTCTAGACACTGTAATCAAGGTTGGGTGTGTACTGGACTTCCGGGATTCAAAGGGCCTAGAGTACGTCAGTCCTTGTCAAACACACCAAGGAGGAAGTCCCAGCTCTGGACTTTCATCCCGTTTGTTTCCTGAGAAAGTAAAGAACTGCGCTGGATGAAGAGAGCCAGGGTGAGACAGTGAGAATGACTTCTCTAAACCCTCAGAGGGCAGGATCCTGAGTCCTGAACAGCGTAACATTGAGATAAGGCACAGAAGCTGCAATGTGTCTCCAATAATTCTAGCGCTCGGTCTGACAGTGCAGGAACACATATCCTCTCAGCCTGTAGTATTAATCATGCTTGTTATTTTCTATATTGTATGATGCTTTGACTTTTTGGGACCTCGTGGACTTGGAGAGAGACTGCCTGTCTGAGGGTTAGCTAATTCCTAGAGAGAGCAAACAACTGGCTTGTGAGCATGCCTTTAATATGCAAACCAACAAATCTAGAGCCCAACCACCCCGCCCACCTCCTTTATCCAGCTCTCAAATACCAAGCCCATATTCCCCCACCCCCTAAAATCCCACAGGGCCAGATACCAAACAACTAGGAACCTACTCCTGTAGAACTATAACTACAGAATGTTCAGAAACAGCTATCAGGAGCAAAGTGTACACTAACCACTTCTCCGAGCCTAACTCCACTCTCCCTCCAGCCCCAACAGGATCAAGAGGCTAAGCTTTCAATGTAAAGAAAACAATTGCCTAGATTTGGCCTCATTTTTCATCACTCAAAAGGATAGACAGAATAAGAACTCAACCACAGCTTGAGTTCTACTGCTTTCTCTGCACCTGTGGTCCCAGTTGCCAATCATTAGATTTCCAATGAATGGGCTATTGACGTATGACAGCCATTTGCTAGGCTGTGGGCAGTTCTGTTTGACTGGCAGGCAAGGGCAGGCCCCAGTTTGAAAGGAGCTCCATCAACACAGTCCAGTGGAACATTTCACAGTTGAAAAGCATTCAGTTTTCACCTGCCTGGCTGGCTCAGCCTCCATTCATCTGTCCCTGGTGTGCAGGCTCCATTCAATGTCCCTAGAAATAAGCCAGTTGCAGTGGCTCATGCCTATAATCCAAGCACTTTGGGAGGCAGAGTCTACAAGGTCACTTGAGGCCAGGAGTTTGAGAGCAGCCTGGGCAATACAGCAAAAGACTCCTATCTCTACAATTTTTTTTTAAAATTAGGGTGTGGTGGTATGTGCTGTAGTCCCAGCTACTCAAGAGTTTGAGGCAGAGGATTGCTTGGGTCTAGGGGTTCAAAGCTGGGCGACACAGTGAGACTCTGTCTCTAAAAAAAAAAAAGAAAAAAGAAAAAGAAAAAAAAGAAAAAAGCTCCTAGAAACAACATAGAAGAGTCGAGACAATTAAGGAAAAGAACTTGCCTTGCACCGTGGAGAGGAGGGGCCTTTTCCATACACTTAATGTCCTCCCTCTTTGCTTATCCAAAGAACTTGATCACTGGAGGTTACAACAATCTTGGGTAGCTATCTCAGGACTGGAATTAGACAAGGCAACTCTGTATAATAAAAGAAATTTAAGTCAGGTACAGTGGCACACACCTGTAATCTTAGTACTTTGGGAGGCTGAGATGGGAAGATTGCTTGAGGCCAGGAGTTCGAGATCAGCCTTGTCAACATAGCAAACCCCATCTCTATTTTTTTTTTTTTTTGAGACGGAGTCTTGCTCTGTCGCCCAGGCTGGAGTGCTGTGGCCAAATCTCAGCTCACTGCAAGCTCCGCCTCCCGGGTTCACGCCATTCTCCTGCCTCAGCCTCCTGAGTAGCTGGGACTACAGGCGCCCGCCACCTTGCCTGGCTAGTTTTTTGTATTTTTTAGTAGAGACGGGGTTTCACCGTGTTAGCCAGGATGTTCTCGATCTCCTGACCTCGTGATCCGCCTGTCTCAGCCTCCCAAAGTGCTGGGATTACAGGCTTGAGCCACCGCACCCGGCCCCTCTATTTTTTTTAAAAGAAATTTAGAGACAGGATATAGACTGAAGTTAATAATATGTGACTCAAATTCCCACTTGCGGGGGCTTCTCTGCCCTCAGAGATTTTAGATAAACTTGTCCAGAGCCACAGTTCTAGGACTTGGGGCAGCTCAATGTCTTCTCTGTGATTCCTGCCCCATTTTTCTTGCTGCTCTTTGTTTCATTTCAGTCCCAACTGAGTCCAAACTGGGGAAATTGGTCTCCCTTGCCAGTTTCCACAAGAAATGCTGTCACACAAAGCCTACTGTGATCTTTGTATATGAATTATAGATTGGTAGGGCACTCCTATCCCCAAACTCTTCATGTGTGCCATTCCCAGTGCACTGACTAGCTTTCCCTCAGACCTCCTGGACATCTGCTGAATTAAAATCCTTTCATCTTGCTCCCATCTGCTGCAGGGCTGTTGTAAGTGCTGCAGGGGATCCTGGCTGAATCCAGACTGAGAATTAGAATTTGGCTATTTGTTGAGCTTCTCAGAGGAGTGTTTGAATGTGCAAAAAGCCTTGATTTTGGAGGTCAGAAATAGGTTGGTATCATTTATCCTTTGTCACAATAATACTGTGTAACAAACAGAAAAACCAGTGGCTTCAAATGACACAGACTTTACTTGGTTCAAAAATCTATAGTTTAGCTGGGTGGATCTTCAGGTGTCCCCTGACCTCACTCATGTAAAAGCAGGTCATCTACACAGGGCTTGGCAGAGCCATGCATCTGGGCTTTTCTGGGCAGGGGGATGGCTGGGGGCTAGCTGTTGGCTGAGGCCGTACTTCATGAGCTGGTAGTCTAACCAGGCTCTTCTCAGGGTATGGCAGAGGAGCCACAAGAGTGAGTGGAACAGCTCAAGGCCTCTGGAGGTACAGCTTAAAATGGACATCCCATCATTTCAGCCACATCCAGCTGATCAAAGCCAGTCATGGCCCAGCGCAGATTAAAGAGGCAAGGAGAGCTTCTACTTTTTAATAGGAGGAGCTCAGTGTCCCATTGTAAAGGGCGTAGAGACAGAGAGGGGCGGACAATTGGAGTTAGTTTTCCATTCCATTTACTACAATGACTGGTTAATATTTGTTCTTGAGTGACTAGAGATAAAGCATCAAGGACAAGGAGCAGGTAGCTGGTTATGTATCTTCCTCTCCCTCTCCCCAACCCAGCCTGGGGTGACATGTTTTGAACCTCAGCAGACTGAGGTTAGGAAGAGAAATAAGAGGACCTAAATCATAAAAGACTCTAGATGGATAAGGGCTGTTCTCTCCTCTGACCCCACATTCCACCCTAAACATACTCTGCTAAGGAGTATAGCAAAAAGCACCTCTGCTGGGTATGGGTTGGGAGGAGGCAGCAGTAGGGAGAACCTGCTAAGGTGTCTTCAGCCACTGAGGCTCAGGTAGGTGGTGCATCTTGATAAGGAAGATAGAGCAGGCCACAGTGAGCACATTTGTCCCCGAGCATGTGAGAATTCTTCTAGTCCCGAAAAATGGCCCAAGGGGACTTTGGGAGGAGAAGACTGAGTTCCTATGTGAGTAAGAGGAGCAAAGAACTTTGTAGTTTTGGAATTAATATTAACAACCTCATTTGTACCTACAATTTGATGAGAATGTGAACCTAAAGGAAAAAACAACTGAGGCCAACTTAATATAAGTAGTGCATTTACTTGGGCCACGCTTGAGAACTGCAACCCAAGAGCATAGTTTCAAGTTGCCTTGAGTATATGCTCTGGTTAGCAGCAGGTACAAGTAGGTTTTTAAAGGAAAAGAAGAGGAAGAGGAAGAAGCTCCTGAGTTGTTTGCCAAGAATTTCCATGAAAATAACATAAGCTATTGATTGGCTATACACTGTTCTGTGTATCACAAATTCCAGGAACATAAAGATAGTAGATGAGGTGGCTAGTCAGGAACAAAATGCCTTTAAATGATTGCTTCCAGGCATGGGTTCAAGGAGGCACAGCAAGACTGGAGCCCCTGCTCCCTCTCTGGGCCTGATGAATTTGGCATACCTCATATGGCTCAGACTGCTCTAAGCCATTTTTCTTTTCTCAAGAACTATCTTCTTTCTTTCTATCTATCTATCTATCTATCTATCTATCTATCTATCATCTATCTATGTCTATCTATCTCTGTCTATCCATCTATTTGTCTCTCTCTATCTATCTTTGTCTATCTATCGATCGATCGATCGAAGCATCTCCTCCAAGAAGGTATACCATTCACACTTTCTGAAAATTTTAATGTGCAAAGAATTCTTTTGAGTTCTCTGTTCTCAGATTTGTCTCTGGTCCCACATTTCTGACCTGCACTCATACTCTGGCTGCTTTCCAGCCTAGCCTCCAGTTAGATTTACTGTCTGACCTCTCCTGTCCTAATCTTCCTGCTTTCTTTCTCAGTCTCCGCTCAGCATGTGCCTTCCTGGTAGGGCCTCTCTGCAGAAAGAAAACCTGCAACGGATTCCCTTCCAGAGTCTGGCCTGGAAGCTGCTCTGCTGGACTCCAACTTTCACATTTTGTGCTGCCTCTAAGGGGAGTTAACAACAATAGTACACATGTATTAAGTATTCACAAATACTGGGTGTTGGTAAGCTGGTAAGAAAAAGGAGCCCAAATGTAATAGGAGCTAATGGCAATTCAAAACTTGCCTTGGAAGTTTCTTTTGTAGCCAAAACATGCAAAGAACTGGCAACGGCATAAACATCATCAATTGAGACCTAGGTAAATACTTTATGGTAATATAAGCTCACATTTAAAGGACTTACCACATGTCAGGCACCATTCTAAGTGTTTTACAAATACAATTGGCCCTCCATATCCCTGGGCTCTGCATCTGTGGATTGAAAATAATAATTTTTAAAGTAACAATAAAAATACAAATAAGTGTTTATGACTACTTATATAACATTTACATAGCATTAGGTGTTATGAGTTACCTAGAGATGATTTAAAGTACATGGGAGGATGTGTGTAGGTTATGTGCAAATGTGACACTATTTTATATAAGGGACTTGAATATCTTTGGATTTTGGTATGAGGGGGTATCCTGAAACCAATACCCCATGTACACTGAGGGATGACTTATTAACTTATTTAATCATCACGGTTATCATTTGAGGTAGATATGTATTATTTTGATCCTTATAATACCCATAGGGCAACAGAGGCACAAGGTAGAGACGAGGTCTCACCATGTTACCTATGCTTGTCTCAAACTCCTGAGCTCCAGCGATCCATCTCTCTTGGCCTCCCAAAGTGCTGGGATTGCAGAAGTGAGCCACTGCACCCAGCAACACACACACACACAAATTTAAAGGATAACACTTATGCTAACTTTAATTTTTAAAAAAGAACTGATAGTTGAGATGATGACAGCGTGCCTTGTTATTTTCGTATCTCTAGGATTTTGCTTACGCTGAGCCTTCCAGTGGGAAGTCCTTCTAGTTTTATATTGACCCAGCTGATATTTACTTATCTCCAAAGTCTAGCTTGTGTTGTTTTCTCCAGAGAGAGTGAACTCTTGCCTTTATACTACTGCTATCTATTGCACACATCTCTTTTACTTCATTTATCTTATCGTGTTGAAAGTATTCATTTAGGCTGGGTGCAGTGGCTCATGCCTGTTATCTCAACACTTTGGGAGGCCATAGCAGAAGTGTTGCTTGAGGCCAGGAGGTCGAGACCAGCCTGGGCAACATGGAGAAACCCCATCTCTACCAAAAATAAAAAGTAAAAAAACTAGCCAGGCATGGTGGTGTGTACCTGTAGTCCCAGCTATTCAGGAGGCTGAGGTGGGATGATCACCCGAGCCCAGGGAAACTGAGGCTGCAGTGAGCCGTGTTCATGTCACCACACTCCATCCAGCCTGGGTGACAGAGAGGGACCTTGTCTCAAAAAAAAAAAGAAAAAAAAAATAAAAGTATGAGTTTAATGGTCTGCCTCCCACAGTACTCAATGAGCTCCTCATAGCCAAGTATCTGGAGCAAAGTAAATGTTCAATAAATAATTGCTTTCCTTTGAATTAAATACCGAAAGAGTGACTCCATTAGCAAGTTTCTCTTTTTTGGCAAGGCAGGGGATATTGTTTACGCGTAGGCCCATATCCTCAGCTATCAGGAAGCAGAGTTCAAAACACTGAGACAGAAGATAAGTGTGACCTTCTGGGCAGGAACTCTAAAATGGGAAATGGTTCCAATGCACTTGGGAGGCTCTGACACTGATTAAAATGGCCTTGACAAGCAGGAAACGAAGTAGGACTCGGCAAGAATCCCAAGGGGCCACTTAGAGAACTTTCTTGGAGGTTTGTTGGTTAAAATATATAAACAGATGAGGTAAGAAGAGTCTTGGGATTGAGAATAAAACCGAAGAGTTCCCTAATGTTAAGAATAAGTTTGGAAGAGCTGGAGTCTAAAATGGGCAGGGGTCTGACAAGTTTGCCAAGAACATCTAAGAGAATTTTTGCCGTATTCACAGTAAGATTAGGGCAGCTGGCCTGCTGGTATTAAAGGCCCAGTGGGGAGGAGTACTTAGCCAGGCTGCTGGGGTCCAGGGGTTAAGGGGTCAGGTGGGAGCAGCTAGCTGTCAGCAGGCCACATCTTCGAGAGCGCTTTCTTTGTAGGACTAGCTATGACATGGGTGACACATCTTGATATACATTAACATGTCTTCCCAAGGCCAGCTCCTGGTTCTGAGTCCTGGATGACGCCTAGTCCTTGACCTGTTTGAGCTGACAGAGGAGCAGCAGCTTTCCCTGTTGCCGCAGCACGCACATGCGCACCACGGTCAGTGTTTACCATACCTGACATCACTTCCACCAATCACCCTCAGAGGGAAGTGTAGAAGCAATTTCATTCTGATTAAGTCACTCTTATTTTCAGTCTGGGATCATTGCAGTGATAAGTTTTCCTAATTTTCATATCTCTCCAAAGCTAAAAGATACATTTCTGAAGACTTGCCTTAATGCACATATTTTTTAAAAAAGTTTTTAAGGGTTTTGAGCTTTGCCCAAAGCCTTAGATGGAAAAAAGAAAACTATCCAATTTAGAAGCACTAATGAGTACTTTAAACTGTGGCAGAAGCAGTGGGGGTAAACACTGATGCTGTTATTGTTAATAGCCAGCCTAATTTGTAGCATCTAAGGTAACTTTTATGCTCTGCTTGTACTAATTACATTGTGGTTGTAAAAATTGCACAGAATAAGCTTTTTGCCTCTTAACACCTCATTGAAATTACTTAATTTTTAAATCTGAGCCCAAATGGTCATAATTAACTTATTATATACATGCAAATTCAGTGTGCTAGGGTTTAATTTTTATTATGCATGTCCAAGTGTCATATATATTAATTTTAAAACTCCAGGTGTTAATGGAGAAAGAAGATGAAACCAAATAGATTAATTTGCATAAAACAAATTAGTATAAATTTACTTTTCCACAATAAGTCCTAGGAAATGAAGACTAATGGACAACTAATTAACAGTCAAGTCATCCTATAGCTGTGATCTATGGCTTTAACTTCCAAAGGAAAGCATGAGAACAAGGACATTTTACAAATGCAGATTTGCCCAAATTACATTATATCTTCATTTAATCACCTGTGTTAATATTTATGTCTCATTACTTACATTTTTTTCTAAGCTCATCTATGATCAAATCTCAATTACAAATCTCAATTTAAATGTACACTGGAATATCCAGTATAGAGTTGTTTTAGTCTCCAAGGCACATTATGAGTTGGGCATTTTTACCTATGTAAATAAAGTGCCAACAGTGGGACTTATTCACCTTTTCCATCTTGGTCCCCTCTACACTTTATAAGTAATGGATTTATAGTGATTTCCTATAAATCATTGCCAAGTTATGGAGATGGAGTCTTAGAGAAGAAACAAAAGCATGCCAAATGGTTATTTATTGTGATCTTTTCCTGTGGCAGCAACTGAGAGGCTAGGGGATGGGCATGGGAAGTGGTAGAGCTTTACTCTTTACTGGACTTCCTTTTGCACTTTTGAAATTTTATATGCTGTGCTTGCATTACCTATTCAAAACTATTTACTACGAGCCAGGTGCAGTGGCACACCTGCAATCCCAACTACATAGGAGGCTGAGGCAGGAGGATCCCTTGAGCCCAGGAGTTTAAGACCAGCCTAGGCAACATGGTGAGATTCCATATGAATTTTTTAAAAAGTATATATTAATTTTTTAAAGCCATTGTACAGCCCTGAGACTGAGGGCACCCTGTCCACTCAAACTTAGGTTCAGTCAAACAGCCCTCTGAGTACTTGTTAAAAATCATCCCCTTAGGCTGGGCGCGGTGGCTCAAGCCTGTAATCCCAGCACCTTGGGAGGCCGAGACGGGTGGATCACGAGGTCAGGAGATCGAGACCATCCTGGCTAACACGATGAAACCCCGTCTCTACTAAAAAAATACAAAAAAACTAGCCGGGCGAGGTGGCGGGCACCTGTAGTCCCAGCTACTCGGGAGGCTGAGGCAGGAGAAAGGTGTGAACCCGGGAGGCTGAGCTTGCAGTGAGCCGAGATCCCACCACTGCACTCCAGCCTGGGCGACAGAGCAAGACTCCGTCTCAAAAAAAAAAAAAAAAAAAAAAAATCATCACCTGTTGTCTTCTCACTCAAATTATTTAACCTCTAAGTCAACTCCTCTCCCAACTCTTCTGAAATGGTTCTACTGAAAAACACAAGTTCTTTCATTTTGCCTCTCTGTAGCATTTTACACAATTGATAAATCATTGATGTGTATTCATCCATTCACTCATTCATTCCAGGATGTCTTTTGAAGCACCTTCTTTGTTCCAGGTATTGACGAGAGATCCAAGGAGGAACAAGCGCCAATCCCTTCTTTCAAGGAGAGCAGTTTGATGAAGGAAGGTTACATTATACTATGATAGATTATGAAGACGACGATAGATATGATGATAGATAGATATGATGGACAGATTATGAAGATATGGTAGATACAGAGGAGGTCTTTAGAGAAATGTAATGGGAATTACAAAGAGGTATCCCACGCAGCCTAGTTGGGAATGAAGGGAAACACAGAAAATGCTGGTAAGAGATAGTCACACTTGCTGACACTTGATATGCATGTATCAGTCGTGTTTACATAAGAGAAACTGTTCTGTTGTATCTGGAAAATTATCTCTCAAGAGTGCTTTGAATGCACAGTTTGCATGGGACCTTATAGTTCACGAGGCTTGGAAGATACTCAGAGGCCAGATAATGGGATGACTCCAGTGCCATGTTTTAACTTTAACCCAAAGGTAAATGGAGTCACAAAAGGGTCTTTCTTCTCTCCACATAGGAACTTAACGCACATTTGTGATATTTAGATTTTTTTTTGTTTGTTTTCTTTTTTGAGACAGGGTCTCACTCTGTCACTTAGGCTGGAGTGCAGTGACACGATCTTGGCTCACTGCAACCTCTGCCTCCCAAACTCAAGCAATCTTCCCGCCTCAGCTTCCCAAGTAGTTAGAGCTAAATGTGTGTGCCACCAGGCACAGCTAATTTATTTTTTATTTTTTGTAGAGATGAGGTTTCACCATATTGCCCAGGCTGGTTTCCAAGCTCCTGGGCTCAAGCAATCCACCCACCTCAGTCTTCCAAAGTTCTGGGATTACAGGTGTGAGCCACAGTGCCTGGCCAATATTTAGATTTTAGTTTTAGGCTGTTCATTCTGACGGTAGTGTAGAAACTCTAAAGCAAACTGAGATAAGGATTAGGAAGAGTGAGGAGGCTGTTGCCAGGAACCAGGAGAAAAATGGTGAGGCCTTAACTAACCCTGGAGGCAGTGGTAGAGTTTTAAAATGGAACCAGCAAGACTTGGTGATAGACTGGATTAAGGGTAAGTAATGAGGGAGTGGGAGGAATCTAGAACAAAGCCCAAGCTTCTGGTATCTTCCTCAAAATTCCCTTCTCTATGGCCTCCATGGGAGGAACTAAAGAACAGGAGTTAATGATATAGGCTTTGGAGTGTGGGGAATTCAAAAGTTGGCTACACTACAAATTAGTATGCTAACTTTGGGAGAAATTTCTTAGCCCCTTTGAGTTTCAGTTTCCTGTTATGTAAATGGAAGTAATACCATATATTTCATAGCAGAGTATACATAATGACTGTTCAATAAACATTTACTGTTATTACTGTTATCAGGATCACCTTATTTTTTGCAGAATAAAGATGTTAAAGATAATTTTATGGCCAGGTATGCTGGCTCCTGACTACAATCCCAGCACTTTGGGAGGCTGAGGCAGGTGGATCACCTGAGGTTAGGAGTTCAGACTAGCCTGGGCAACATGGCAAAAACCCTGTCTCAACTAAAAATACAAAAAACTAAACAAAACAAACAAACAAAAAATTAGCCAGGTGTGGTGGTAAGCACCTGTAGTCTCAGCTACTCAGGAGGCTGAAGCAGGAGAATTACTTGAACCTGGGAGGCAGAAGTTGCAGTGAGCCAAGATCGCGCCACTGCACTCCAGCCTGGGTGACAAAGTGAAGACTACGTCTCAAAAAAGAAAATAAAATAAAGATAATTTTATATTATACACACAAAACACTAAAAAATATAACTATCCTAATTCAAAAATTTATAAAACTCACATGACTGCTCACCAAACAATTTAGAATTCTCAAGAAGTTTTACTTAATGCATTTTTTTATTTCACTAAATTTTTCCTTTGATAACTTGAGGCACTTGTATTACTTTACGACTCTCGAAAGTCACAGATAGCATCCTCATTTTAAAAAATAAACATTTTGCATCTAGAGATCTGAAAATTTTACTTAGGACATTAAGATTTTGAAAACAAACATATTGGTTAAAAATACTCTCAAAGTTACAAACAAATTGCAAGTTCATTACAAGGATTTTTTTTCCTTTTTTCCTGAATAAGTTGCCAATCTAATGCTCCATCATCTTCTAATATTTTAGTGTGCATTTCCTTCAAACAAGGATGTTCTACAACAAAACCACAATACAACCATCAAAAGCAGGAAATTGAAATGGATTCATCACTACTATCTAACCCTCAGTTCCACCAATTGTCCTGCCTAAGTTTCCCATAGCAACAGGAGCTAGTTCAGTATCGTGCCTGGCATTCAGGCACTATGTTTCTTTAGTCTCCACTCTGGAACAGTTCTTAGCCCTTCCTTGGCTTTCCTGCCATTGACAGACTTGAAGATGACCAGTTAATTATTTTGTGTAACATCCTTCAATTTGGGCTTATCTGATGTTTGCTCATGATCAGATTCAGGTTTCGTATCTTTGGCAGGAATATCACAGAAGTGATGCTGTGATCTTATTGCATTCATTCACGTGACTCATTTCATTTGCCCCATTAATGATGGTGTTCACCTGATTACGATGGTGTCTGCCAGGCTGCTTCGCTGTTTTAACCTTTGAAGTGAGTAAATATTTTGTGGCGACGTACCTTGAAACTAGGCAAACACCTTGCTCCTCATCACATTTTCAGTTTATTATATATTAATTTATATCATATGAACTCATAGTTTCCCATTTTATTCAATGCATTATAATTTATTACTATTACTACTTTTATGGCAAAGTTGCTGTAGCATTTTATTATTGCTACAAAAGACAATCAATCATATTTTCAATGAAATATACTCACTGAATGATGGTTCAACACACGAGGCAAAGAGGGATGTCTTTGGAGAAGGCACTTAAAGTAGCAAATTTTACTGCTTGACTAAACCAAAAATGAGCTAACTCAATCTGGCTGGGGGCCTGTTAGGACTGTTCCTTCTCACTGTGGCCTGACTAAAAACCACCGGCATTAAGCAAGTGTCACATTTCCCATGGCCTGTGCCCCAATGAGGTGGTTCTGCTCTCATAAGCTCTTTTATGAGACCAGTTTTCCCCAGTGCCGGTTCAGAAAATCTGCTCAGAGTTGGCAGAAATTGTTCAGAAAGCTTCTTGAAGGCCTTTTGTTTCTTGGTCTGACTTTCAGTTTGTACCAGCTACTTTAAGCAGCTTCAGCTTCCCAAGGTTACTAGCAACTTCTACTTTTCCTAATATATTTGGTTTTCCATTGCATTGGTTGTGATAGTCTGTTAGACTAGTAGCCTCCCAATTAACTGTAGCTCCACTTCATCCCTCTTTTTGAATCTGGGCTGGGCTCGTGACTTCCTTAATCAATAGGAGGCACACTCCAGCTGATATGGTTTGGATCTCTGTCCCCACCCAAATCTCACCTTGAATTGTAATAATCCCCACATGTTGTGGGAGGGACTCGGTGGGAGGTAATTGAGTCATGGGGGCAGGTGCTTCTTGTGCTGTTCTCATGACAGTGAATAAGTCTCATGAGATCTGATGGTTTTATAAAGGGGAGTTCCCCTATACAAGCCTTCTTGACTGCAGTCACGTAAGATATGCCTTTCGCCTTCTGCTATGGTTATGAGGCCTCCCCATCCATGTGGAATTTGAGTCTGTTAAACCTCTTTCCTTTATACATTACCCAGTCCTGGGTATGTCTTCCTTAGTAGTGTGAGAACAAACTAATACACCAGCTTATTAATTTTGAGGCACAAAATATCCTAGATTTTAGTTGGTTCTGTGTCCTCATAACATTTTCCCATCATTCTTTACGTACTTCTTTGCTTTCTGGCCCAACAATGTTCCACACCCAGTCTTAGATTTCCCCGCCCAGGTCTGGGTTCAGCTACTTCAAGGAGCCCTGGTTCCTTTTCGTGGAGAATGGGTTTAGGATGGATTTAGAAACCAAGATCTGGGTCACTAGGTGTGCTCAGGAGGAGCTATTGAGGAGGCATTGACTCTAGGCCCTGAGGTGGACAGTTATGAAATATCTATCATCTATCTACCTATCTATCTATCTAATCTGTGTGTGGGTATACACACACATACTCACATGTAAATGCAGATATACACTTACATCTGTGTTCATTTTGATATCTACCTATTAAAAACCATACACGGATACCTACAATTTTAATCCAATACTACTAAGTTCATTCGGTTTTCTCCTCCTCCATATTTACACTTCCCTTTTCCAGCAGTGAGAAACTGGCTCTGCTTATTGTTAATACATTTACATCTCTGATCAATCCTCCCCAATGTAACCCATCTCCCACTGCTTCCACTCTGGCTTTCCATGCTCTGGCTTCTCATGCCAGGCTGCCCCTCTGCAGGGATGGCCTCACCATCCTGCTTGGGCTTTGATTCTTCGTGCTTCCTCCTCCAACTCCTCACTCCCACCTTGTGTGGATTCCTCTTTACCCCCATCTTGGACTATGATTCTGCCAGCTGCCCTGTCCTTCTGGGCAGACACCTCCATGCCCAATGTGGCCCCCAACGTTCCACTCTGGGCCACAGTGATTCCCTCACCTGGCAGAGATATCTGCTCTGCTCTGTCCTATTTGAGGTTTTGGGACTGAACAGTTCAGGAAGAGAAGCGAAAGGAAAGGAAAAAGAAAAAGGAAGAAGAGAAACTCATCATTATCATCTTTTTTTTTTTTTTGAGGTAGGAGCTCACTCTGTCACTCAGGCTGCAGTGCAGCGGCACCATCATAGACTGCAGCCTTGAACTCCTGGGCTCAAGCAATTCTCCTGCTTTGGCCTCCCAATGTGCTTAAATTATAGGTGTAAGCCACCAACCCTGGCTGTCATCTTTATTATTTACATCATTTTTTTCTTATCACTTACCTTTCTTATCACTATTTTCTTTGCTGATTTATCTTCTTCCTCTCATCCCCCAAACATGGGTATTTCTCAAGGTTCTGGTTTGGCAGGCAGTGCAGAAAAGATCAAAGCTTGGACTAAGTTCTTTGCATCACCACTTTCTGGTTGTAAGACCAAGGACAAGGTTTTTACCCTCTTGTGCTTCAGTTTATCTGGAAAAAAAAAAATGAAAATCATAACAGCCTCCAGTGTCAGTCTTCTATTTCCAATTTTTGTTAGACATTTCCACATGAAAGGACTCTCATCAGCTTAAATTCAAAATGTAAAAATCAACCCATTTTTCCTTTCCAAAATTGAGGCATCTTCTCACAGCTCCTCTTTCTGTAAATATATATTCACTCTACAAGAATTTATCGGGCACCTGCTGTGTAGTGGACACGGTGGCTGATAATGGGCACCTACTGTGTAGTGGACACGGTGGCTGATATGGATCAGCTATCAAAGGCAAGGCCTTTGCCCTCAAGACGTTTCCAGTGAGTCCAGTGGGAAAGGCCGTGTGGTAAGTGTTCTGATGGAGTTAAATGGTTGTACCTTTTCTTCTCAAGGAAGAGCACCAAATTCCCAAAGACTAAGGCTTTCTGGCAAGACTAACTTCTAACATACATTAGTCTTCAAGGCCAAGTAAGAGTTAGCTACATGAAGAAGAAGAGGAAAAAGGTCTCCGTGGCAGTGTAAGCAGCATGGCCAGAGTTCCGGAGCTGTCACAGGCATGGCACATTCTGAGATAGATAGTGCCGATGGGGAGGGATGAGGATGGAGTGGAAGGCCAAGGTCAGGCCACTAAGGGGAAGAACAGGTGGTAGGGAGTGGGATGCCGGCTGCCTCACTGCTTCATGCTATGCCCTTTGTCTCAAATGCCCTTCCTCTTTCCACTGGACTCATTCAAATCCTATCCATTCTTCCTAGCTTTCTCCTTGAAACCTTTTCTTACCTGATCCCAGAAGCAGCTGTTACCAGCAGCGAATCCTTATGGGTCTGCAGCAACCTCAGTTCTTAGCTCCTCAGAAGAAAGAATTTGGGGCTGGGTGCGGTGGCTCACGCCTGTAATCCCAGCACTTTGGAAGGTGGAGGCAGGCGGATCACTTGAGGTCAGGCATTTGAGACCAGCCTGGCCAACATGGTGAAACCCTGTCTCTACTAAAAATACAAAAAATTAGCCAGGTGTGATGGCGGGCGCCGGTAGTCCCAGCCACTCTGGAGCGGGGGCAGGGAAGAATTTGACCGAGGAAAAATAAGGCAGAGAGACTAAGGCAAGTTTTAGAGCAAGAGTGAAAGTTTACGAAAAGGTTTTAGGGCAGGAACAAAATGAAGTAAAGTACACTTCGAAGAGGGCCAGGCTGGCAACTTGAGAGATCAAGTGCCTGGCTTGACCTTTGACTTAGGGTTTTACACATTGGCATACCTCTGGGGTCTTGCATCCCTTTTCCCCTGATTCTTCCCTTCTGGTGGGCTGTCTGCATGCCCAGTGCCCTACCAGTGCTTGGGGAGGGCTGCCTGCGCAACGTGTTTATGGGAGTTATAGGCATGCTCACTTGAGACGTTCTTCCTTTACCAGTACAACGTTCCTAGAGGAAAGTCATATACCAGTTAAACTCCCCCATTTTGCCTCATAGTGCGCATGCTTGAGCCCACTTACCTAACTCCTGAGATCTTATTGGGAAGCTGCTGATAACCAGTTTCAGGTTTTTTCTATCTGTCGGGAGACTGCTTTCCCTGGTGCTGGCTGTGACTAATTGTTTTAGAGAAATAATGACTGTAACAGTGTAACAACCACCTGACCATCACTTGATGGTCGTCTGATGTTCCGGATTGGGCGGGCAGCCCTCTCCTGGCCTGCTGATGTCTGCCTACTATAACACAACCTCTCTCTCCTCTGAACTTTTCTGGCAATTACTATTCTCACAACATATTTGATATAACGATGATACCAATGTCTTCTATCTATAGATTTTATTTTTATTTTTAAAAGCCTTTTGCTGGCCGGGGGCAGTGGCTTATGCCTGTAATCCTAGCACTTTGGGAGGCTGAGGCAGGTGGATCACTTGAGGTCAGGAGTTCAAGACCAGCCTGGCCAATATGGTGAAACCCCATCTCTACTAAAAATACAAAAAAAAAATTAGCCGGGTGTGGTGGTGTGCACCTGTAATTCCAGCTACTTGGGAGGCTGAGGCACGAGAATCACTTGAATCTGGGAGGCAGAGGTTGCAGTGAGCTGAGACACTGCCACTGCACTCCAGCCTGGGCAGCAGAGTGAGACTCTGTCTAAAAAAAAAAAAAAGTTTTTGCCTTGATCATTAAGTTTGATGTACACATAGAACAATTATTTCTTCAGAGCTAATAACTTCTGCCTGTGGCCTGCCTCCCTAACTGGATTGAGACCCCCTTCAATGCAGCAGCTTTGCCCCTGACTTCCTTATACTCCTCACAAAGCCTAACATAATGTCTCAAACGATTGGTGCTCAATATATTTATTGACTTGATTTTGATGTGCATTTTACTGCTTTCATTAGCATTCTGGTTCTGTGGGTAAACAATTTGGTACATGTAGCATAGTGTAAACTACTGGTTACCATAGTGCAAACTATTTTATAACTCCTCAGAAATGACTTGTAAGTGATACAACTAAGAAATGGCAGCACTAGAAGTGTGGTATGTCAGGGCTCTGTTCTGTGTACCATCTAGTACCCTCAGCTAAGGGAAAAACAATACGCATTGCTCTGAAAAACTCTAGGGATCCTTTTGAACTCATCTTTGGTGACATGGCTCCAATTAGTCTGAAATCTAACATAGTCTTGCTTGATGGCTTGCCAGACAGTAACTAGCACTCTGGGTCAGGAACTTAGGCTAGAGCCAAGAGTTCAATCCTGATGAATCAAATTAACAGCTATGACTCAGAAAGAGGAGGGCTGGTAACTGCTCTTTTATTTCCTATAACTCAAGTTACAGGATATAAACTCACTTTGTAGCATTTCATCCCTCACCTACTACCCACCCCTAGGACTATTTCCCTATGAGTCTTTCAGCCCATTCTTAAAACCCAGACCCCTAAAAAACAACTTTACTATGCAGATCCCTTCCATTCTTCAGTCTGCAATGTCTTGAATGACTGAACTGCTTCCCCTGGTTCTTTGTGAACCTGTGTTCTGGGTTAGGTTTGACCTTGCAAGTTCCCAGGGTTAGATTGAGGAAGATGGAATTAGACTGATAGAGTGAACTTGAAAAATTGAGTTCAGTTATTGATGTATTTGATTTATTGGGGGTCTTTCCCAAGAAAAGCTTCTGATATTGTTGAAAGGACTAAACAATATGATTCCAAAAAGAGGGAAGATACAGATGAAAACTACAGGAGGAAAAATTAGATCTGTAAGAAAAATTAACAGAGGTAGATAAGAAAAAAAGCCAATGGAGAATTCGAAATGCAGTACAAATCTTGGCAGCCCACACCTTCAGAAACAAATGCAAACATTTGGAATGGAAATGAAAAAATGGAATCTGTGTAATGAACCAGAAAGAGTACGCATAAGTTTTGGAATCACTCAGGTCTAGGGTCAAATCTTTACTGTGCTGGGGAGTGTTTAACTGGCTCATCATAAATGAATAAATAAACAAGAAAGCAAGCCCTAATTTGCAGCTTTTGCTGCAAATTATAAAGTTATTAAATACATGGTCTAGGAAAGTAATGTCACTGAACACAGATTTGTGAAGAAATGCACAACAGCACACATAAATACAAATACAAATTTGTATTCATATCCTTCATACAAATACAATAGATGTAAATAACCTCAAGAGCATAGATGATAGTTGAAGATAGGTAAATCATTAAAAGTGATGTTTTTGGGTATTTATTACCTGTAAATATGTATTTTTTTGAGGCAGGGTCTTGCTCTGTGCCCAAGCTGGAGTGCAGTGGTGTGATCACACTTCACTACAGTCTTGACTTCCCAGGCTCAAGCAATCCTCCCACCTCAGCTTCTCAAGTAACTAGGACTACAGGTGTGTGCCACCATGACTGCTGATTTTTGTTTTTTGTTTTTTTGTTTTTTTTGGTAGAGACGGGGTTTCACCATATTGTACAGGCTGGTCTCCAACCCCTGGGCTCAAGCAATCCTCCTGCTCAACCTCCCAAAGTGCTGGGATTACAGGTGAGAGCCACTGTGCCTGGCCTTATTACCTATATTTTAAAATATAATTTTAATTTGTAAGTTTATACAATTTTTTAAAATGACTGTTTAATGATCAGCTTGCAAAATGTCAGAAAATAGAACAATCAGCCTGTACAAGCTGATATGAGCTGCCTCTACCACACCACTGATGAATGATGATACACTTGATCCTTATGATTGCTGGATTCCATATTTGTGAATTCACCTGCCCTCTAAAATTTATTTGCAAACCAAAAATCAATACTCAAAGCATGTGATGGTTAATTTTCTGTGTCAATTTAACTGGGCTACAGGATGCTTAGATATTTAGTTAAGCTATATTCTTGGTGTATCTGTGAAGGTGTCTTTGAGTGAGATTAACATTTGAATCTATAGGCTGAGTAAAGTAGATTGTCCTTCCTGGTGTGAGTGGGCCTCATTTAATTCCTAAAGGCTTGAACTGAACAAAAAGTCTGAGAAAGGAAGAATTTGGTCTCTCTCTGCTTGACTGTCTTTGAGCTGGGACATTGGTCTTTTCCTGCCCCTAGAACCAAACTGGGACTGGAACTTACACCAACAGCTCTTCTACTTCTCAGGTCTTTGGACTTAGACTGGAACTGTACCGTCAACTCTCCTGGCTCTACAGCTTGTGACCGAAGATCTTGGGACTTCTCGGCCTCCATCATCTTGGTGTGAACCAATTCCCCATAATAAATCTTACTCTCCTTCCCTCCCTTTCTCTCCCTCTCTCTGTATACACACACACACACACACACACACACACACACACACACACACATACACACACGTATTTTATTGGTTCTGTTACTGTCGGCAAATCTGTACAGGCCTGAGGCAACCTCAATTCTTGCATCCTCAAAAGAAAGAATTTGACTGCGGAGGCATAAGGCAAAGTGAAAGACCAAGGCAAGTGTTTTAGAGCAGGAGTGAAGTTTATTTAAAAGTTTTAGTGCAAGAATGAAAGGAAGTAAAGTTACTTGGAAGATGGCCAAGTGGGCAACTTGAGAGATCAAGTGCCTGGTTTGACCTTTGACTTGGGGTTTTGTATGTTGGCATACTACCCGGGTCTTGCATCCCTTCTCCCGATTCTTCCCTTGTGGTGGAATGTCTGCATGCGTAGTGCTTGCTAGCACTTGGGAGGGGCTGCACTCAGTGTGTTTATTGGAGTTGTATGCATGCTTACTTGGGGCCTTCCTCCCTTACCAGCTGAATGCTCCTAGAAGGTCATATAACAGTTAAACTTCACCATTTTGTCTCTTAATAAGCATGCCTGAGCCCACTCTCCCAACTCCTGAGATCTTATCAGGGAGCTGCTGATAACCAGTTTCAGATTTTTTCTATCTATGGGGGGGAGACTGCTTTTCCTTAACACCACTTTGACAAATTATTATTTTAGAGAAACAGTGTAACAACCACCTGACAATTACCTGATAGTCACCTGACATTCCTGGTTCAGGGGTGGCCCTCTTCTGCCCTGCTCATGCCTGACTAGCTACCTACTGTAACAGTTCTGCTTCTCTGGAGAACCCTGATGAATACATGTATCTTTTATAGTCATCTGTGGTGAAAATTTTGAGTCACTTGATGCACATATTCTAAGCTGGGGCTGAACAAGGTGCCACTCTGCCTTCTTCTTTCTACTCATGCTGTAAACAAATATTCTTTTTGTAGTTTGTCTAGTGACACAACTTTCGCATCTTTGTGCTTTTTGTTGGTGATTTTGCTGTTTAAAATGGTCCCCAAGTGTAGGGCTAAAGTGCTGTCTAGGGCGCATAAGTGTAAGAAAGCTGTGATATGCCTTATGGGGAAAATGAAACCACCTTTGCAAAATAACAGCGAGAAAATTTTAACAGTGAAAGAAGTCTGATCTAACTAACCCTCATCTTGCCTTTAACATCCAAACTGCCCTTAATCATTCCTTGGGCTTGGGACAAGCTAACCTTGGGAGACATTTAGTTTATAGTTTAAACAATAGCCATTCCTCAAAACGAAACCACCCTTTGTAAAGCTAATGAAAGACCACCAGGTTAGGAGGATGACAGGAGCCTAAATTCTGCTAAGGTGTAGACATAAAGGATTATCAACCATTATTCTGGAGGTTACAAGATTTGCAACTTCCCCAATTACTCTTGCAGATAACATCTGTCTTGCAGAACCTAAGATTGGCCTTTTGTGATGTCTGATTGGCCTTTTGTGATGTCTTTTCAGGTTTTTGCATTTCTGATGACCAGTGTCTCCATCTGGACCTCCCTGTGGCCCCAACCAGGTGGTGGCCCTATCCAGAAGTGAACTGAGCACTCATAAGGACCATTTTCCATACCTCTATGATTGCATCCTTGAAAAAACCCTAGCCTCGGCCGGGCGCGGTGGCTCAAGCCTGTAATCCCAGCACTTTGGGAGGCCGAGACGGGCGGATCACGAGGTCAGGAGATCGAGACCATCCTGGCTAACACGGTGAAACCCCGTCTCTACTAAAAAATACAAAAAACTAGCCGGGCGCGGTGGCGGGCCCTGTAGTCCCAACTACTCGGGAGGCTGAGGCAGGAGAATGGCGTGAACCCGGGAGGCGGAGCTTGCAGTGAGCTGAGATCCGGCCACTGCACTCCAGCCTGGGCGGCAGAGCGAGACTCCGTCTCAAAAAAAAAAAAACAAAAACCCTAGCCTCTGAATTTTCGGGGAGACTTATTTGCATGATAATACGCCAGTCTTCTAATCAGCCAGCTCTGTGTGAATTAAAGCCACACAGAATTAAATTCCTTTATCTTGACAAATCAGCTCTATCCGGGCAGCCGGCAAGGAGAACCCAT